CGCATCCTCAAGGTCTGCTTCTACAGCAACAGCTTCAACATGGGCAAGAACTTCAAGCTGGTGAAGTGCCCCGTGACAACGGAGATCCGAGTACGTGGGCAGGGGGGTGGATGGGGCAGGGGAGAGGGGTCCATCAGAGCTAGCCCCCAAAGCCCCGTGGCTGAGAAACACCAAAACCTAGAGAGCAGGGAGGAAATTTGGCCATCTCTGGTGGGTGGGGAGGACTTGGAAAGGGTAAGGGCTTGTCGGCCCCACTGCCGGTTCCTGCAGCGAGGATTGGCCCCAGCTGGTCTCCTTCATGGGTAGCAAAGAGGAGTTTCCAGGCTCTGGTTTATCTCACCCTGGAGAAGACATCCCTGGGCACCGTGGTGTGGGGAGTGATGGGAGGAGTCCAGAGGACAAGTGGATCTGGGACACGATGGTGCCCTGTGGGGCTGGGGCTCAGCCCATGCTGCCGGGAGGAGGCTGGGGACTGGCAGGAGCTGAGTCCCCACCTTTCCTCCATCCCCGCTGACCTGCATGGACACAGGTCCTCCGTGGTGAGGAGGACAGTGACCTTCACAGCCCCGAGCCCTTGGCATCTCCCCGTGGCCACGTCGCGGTGTCACTGCCTGCTTAGGTGCCTGCCACCCCCAGACACCCCGAGGGTGCACCCAGCTCCAAGGCCAGCAGCACCTCTTGATCTCCTGCCCATACTGCCAGCCAGGTCCCTGGTCCTTCCACCCCAGCGGGACTTCTGCACCCAACTTCTACCCTTTGCTTGTGGGGACATGGGGCTGGGAGGACAATGAAGGTGATATTGGTGCCTTTCTATCATGGACATGGTGGCTTTGGGCTGGAAATGTGCTCCTCACCCTTCCTACCTGGAGTCTTGTGGATTCCCAGCTGGGGGAAGGTGTGCTGAGCAGCTCAGGCTCTGCGTTTGGGTGCTGCAGGGTTGGTGTCCACCAGGAGAGATGCACGGCCCGGGTGTGATGGGTGATGCTGTGCCTTCTCATGGGGCGAGTCCTGGGGACGGTGCACTGCAATGAAGTCCTGCTCCCAACGATGCCATGCATCGGGTGTAGCTCAGCTGAGGCATAAGGAAGGATGGAAATCATAGAGTCATGGAATGGTCTGGGTTGGAAGGGACCTTCAAGACCATCTAGTTCCAATCATCTAGTTCCAAACCCCCTGTCATGGGCAGGGACACCTTCCACTACACCAGGTTGCTCAAAGTATCATCCAACCCGGTCTTGAACACTTCCAGGGATGGGGCAGCCACAGCTTCTCTGGGAAACCTGTGCCAGTGCCTCACTGCCCTCAGAAGGAAGAATTTCTTCTTTAGATCTAATCAAAATCTCCCCTCTTTCAGTTCAAAGCCATTGCCTCCTGTCCTATCACTACACACCCGTGTCAAAAGTCCCTCTCCAGCTTTCTGTGATGACCCACCTGGGCTTTTATCCCTGACCAAAACCCCTCTGGGAGGTTGAATGAGACACGTTCAGGCTGTGCGCTGTTGCAGAGCGAGCTGGAGGCATCTTTGGAGGCTTCACATGGAGACTGCTGGGGCTGGTGGATGCATTTTTGGGGACATTTGTGTTGCGGTTGTGGTGTATTTTTTCGTTTTCCTGCTATCTAAAGCTGATCTGGAGATGCTCAGGTCTCAGCCCTGCTCCTTTCCACCCCAGGAGGTGATCAGGTCCATCCTGGTGAGCGGCCGCATCGGGCCCGACATCAAGTTGACTGAGTGCTACGGGCTCCGCCTGAAACATGTGAAGTCGGACGAGATCCACTGGCTGCACCCAGACCTGACGGTGGGCGAAGTGCAGGAGAAGTACGAGTGCCTGCACCTGGAAGCCGAGTGGAGGTAGGACCCGATGGTGCGATGTCCTTCTCCATGTCCCCAAACCCACCCAGGGCGGGGACACGGGAACCACCGAGCCCTGTTATGGGGAAAGCTCCTCCAGCATGATCCTCATGGAGGGACTCTCCCCTTGCCAGGTACGATCTCCAAATCCGCTATCTGCCAGAGGATTTCATTGAGCGCTTCAAAGAGGACAGGACCACCTTGCTCTACTTCTACCAGCAGGTCAGAGGTGGCCCTGGGGGTCTCCTGGTCCCAGCCAGGTTGGCTCTTCAGCCCCCCTGACCCACCCCCCAGCTCCAGGAGGGCTTTTCCTCCTCCCTAACCCAGAAAAAGTCATTCCCAAGAGCCCCAAGACCTTGTATCCCATTTCCTTGTCCCTGGGCTGCTGAGAGGCAGCCTCTGTGGTCCCGTCCTGCTGCTGGATCCATGTGTCTCCATCAGGGACAGCTGGTCCCAACCCCTTCACCCTGCTTCTGCCCCCGCTGCATCCCAGCATGGGATGTGGGAGGTCATGGAGCCTGTGAGCATCCCCTCTGCAGCCCCTGCAAGCACCCCCTGAGAGCACCCCCTGCAAGCGTCCCTTCTGAGCATCCACTGTCTGCATCCCCTGCGAGCATCTCCTCTGAACACCCTGCAAACACCCCCTGAGAGCATCCCCTGCGAGTATCCCCCCTGCAGACACCCCCTGCTAGCATCCCCACAAGCGTCCCCTGCAAGCATCCCGTGAGCATCCCCTGCATCACCCTCTGTGAGTGCTCCCTGCAAACACCCGCTCCTAGCACCTCCTATGAGTGTCCCTTGTGAGCACTCCCTGCAAGCATCCCTTGCAAGCACCCCCTGTAAGCATGCCGTGCAAGCATCCCCTGCCTGCATCCCCTGCAAGCACCTGCTGCAAGCACTCCCTG